ACTACTCGGCCCCTCTCTGTTTTTTATCAGCAAAGCTGGATATATCTCTCCTACATTTCCCTGATTATATGCTATATATTGGCTTTTTCTTTCTTCTCTAGCTCCCAAATACATCAAGATGTTTGTACTGGACGAAGCTGACGAAATGTTAAGCCGTGGATTCAAGGACCAGATCTATGACATATTCCAAAAGCTCAACAGCAACACCCAGGTGAGGGCGGCCTTGCTCGAATCGCTAATGATTCTGGAAGAAAAATTTCAAGTGCCAGGGGAACCAAACTCTGGATTCTTGTCTTGAGCCTTTTTATGCATCCACTTCCGTTTTAGGTGTGGCTAGGGAAGGGAGCAGACCTTGGGAAGGATCCACCGCTCTAAGGCTGGCCTTTTTTTCCACTAGGTAGTTTTGCTGTCAGCTACAATGCCTTCTGATGTGCTTGAGGTGACCAAGAAGTTCATGAGGGACCCCATTCGGATTCTTGTCAAGAAGGAAGAGTTGACCCTGGAGGGTATCCGCCAATTCTACATCAACGTGGAACGAGAGGTGGGGCCCAGTGCAGGAGGCGGGCCTGGTAGTGAGTTGTTGGGTATAGCCCCTGACTGATTTTTGTCCCCTCACCTGCAGGAGTGGAAGCTGGACACACTATGTGACTTGTACGAAACGCTGACCATCACCCAGGCAGTCATCTTCATCAACACCCGGAGGAAGGTGGACTGGCTCACCGAGAAGATGCATGCTCGAGATTTCACTGTCTCTGCCATGGTGTGTTTGCCCGCTGCCAGCCCCTTGTGGGTCTGCCAGTCAGAAGTGTCCTACTTGAAGCCAGGGTTCCTGGAACCCATGTGCCTACCTGGTTTGTTTTCTCTTCCAGCATGGAGATATGGACCAAAAGGAACGAGACGTGATCATGAGGGAGTTTCGTTCTGGCTCTAGCAGAGTTTTGATTACCACTGACCTGCTGGTGAGTAGAGGGAATTGACCGGAAAGGCAGAAGGGAGGATCCAAGGTGATTCCCTCTCCAAGGGGACATCCAGTGCCCCTCTCAGGAAAGTAGCAGCTTGGAATAGAATCTGGCATGCCTAAGGCTTTTGGGGAACAGGGATGCTTATTTCCTCCGCCTTCCTTGGCTGCCTACATGGATGCCTAAGTGTCTCTTCGGGATAGTGTTCTGTCATGCACATGCTGAAGAGTTGTCTTTTTTGACATAGGCCAGAGGCATTGATGTGCAGCAGGTTTCTTTAGTCATCAACTATGACCTTCCCACCAACAGGGAAAACTATATCCACAGGTAAGAGTAGATCTGGAACACTCCCCCACGCCTGCCCCTCCCTGGGCTAAAGTTCCTGATGTTCCTCATCCCTTTCCTTGTTTTCCAGAATCGGTCGAGGTGGACGGTTTGGCCGTAAAGGTGTGGCTATTAACATGGTGACAGAAGAAGACAAGAGGACTCTTCGAGACATCGAGACCTTCTATAACACCTCCATTGAGGAAATGCCCCTCAATGTTGCCGACCTCATCTGAGGGGTTGTCCTGCCACCCAGCCTCAGCCAGGGCTCAATCTCGGGGGGCTGAGGAGCAGCAGGAGGGGGGAGGGAAGGGAGCCAAGGGATGGACATCTTGTCATTTTTTTTCTTTGAATAAATGTCACTTTTTGAGGCAAAAAAAGAAGGAACCGTGAACATTTTAGACACCCTTTTCTTTGGGGTAGGCTCTTGCCCCAGGCGCCGGCTCTTCTCCCAAAAAAACACTAATCCATTTCCCTAACCTAGTAACCTCCAGATCCCAGAGGCTCTCCTCACCTCAGCTGAGCTCCTTTGAAAGTGATTCAGGGGACTACGTCACTCAGCCTCATTTGCTGGACCAAATCTGGAGGGAGAACCCCTAAAACCCCTGAGTGAGGTTGCCCAGGGGGTTGTCCCCAGGTGGGGGGAAGCAGGGGAGAGAAAATGGTAGCCATTTTTACATTGTTTTGTATAGTATTTATTGATTCAGGAAACAAACACAAAATTCTGAATAAAATGACTTGGAAACTGCCTGTTTGGGCTTCTCATTTCTTACCTCCCCTTCCCTCTCCCACCTGCTACTGGGTGCATCTCTGCTCCCCCCTTCACCAGCAGATAGTTACCTTTGGGCTGTGTTGCTTTCTTGTCACCATCTAAGAGTTCCCAGAGGCTGGAAAGCCATGTTCTCGGTGATGCTGACTGGAATGCTGCCCCTCTGTAAAGGGCTGGGTGTGGATGATCACAAGCCCCTCACGTGCCTCAGCCAAGAGGAAGTACAGGGGTCAGCCCCGAGGTCCAGGGGAAAGGGGAGTGGAGACGCTGATTTCCCCACCACTGAGGGAGGGGCCTGGGTCTCAGCTGTTCCCATAGCCACCTGCCACAACTGCCAAGCAAGTTTTGCTGAGTTTGACACATGGATCCCTATGGATCAACTGCCCTAGGACTCCCTTTCATGTACCCATGTGACCCTGTTGACTTTGCCCTGATGAAGCAGGGGCCAACAGTGCCCTACCTTAATTACAAAAACTAATGACTAAGAGAGAGATGGCTAGAGCTGAGGCCCCTGAGTCAGGCTGTGGGTGGGATCATCTCCAGTACAGGAAGTGAGACTTTCATTTCCTCCTTTCCAAGAGAGGGCTGAGGGAGTAGAGCTGAGCAACTGGTGCAGACAGCCTCGCTGGACTCGGGGTGAGGTAGTTCAGCCATGAGGCTGGCTGTGCTTTTCTTGGGGGCCCTGCTGGGGCTACTCGCAGGTAAGGAAAAAGGAGGCTGAGGGGAGGGGACCCCTGGGAGGGAGCCTGCCCCTGGGTGGCTAACCATCTCTCTGCCAAAAGCCCAGGGGACAGGGAATGACTGTCCTCACAAAAAATCGGCCACTCTGCTGCCATCCTTCACGGTGACACCCACGGCTACAGAGAGCACTGGAACAACCAGCCACAGGACTACCAAGAGCCACAAAACCACCACTCACAGGACAACCACCACAGGCACCACCAGCCACGGACCCACGACTGCCACGCACAACCCCACCACCACCAGCCACAGAAACACCACGGTTCATCCAACAAGCAACAGCACTGCCACCAGCCAGGGACCCTCAACTGCCACTCACAGGCCTGCCACCACTAGTCATGGAAATGCCACGGTTCATCCAACAAGCAACAGCACTACCACCAGCCCAGGACTCACCAGTTCTGCCCACCCAGGACCACCTCCGCCCTCTCCGAGTCCTAGCCCGGCCTCTAAGGAAACCATTGGAGACTACACATGGACCAATGGTTCCCAGCCCTGTGTCCACCTCCAAGCCCAGATTCAGATTCGAGTCATGTACACAACCCAGGGTGGAGGAGAGGTAAAGCTAAAAATGGGTACGAGAGGGGAGGGAGGCAGGACTGGCTATAGGCTCAGAGGGAAGAAGGAAGACAGGACGGGGAATATTGGCTGGCATCGCATGCGATCTTGTGACCTTCTGATCTTTAACTTCCGCAGGCCTGGGGCATCTCTGTACTGAACCCCAACAAAACCAAGGTCCAGGGGAGCTGTGAGGGTGCCCATCCCCACCTGCTTCTCTCATTCCCCTATGGACACCTCAGCTTTGGATTCATGCAGGTATAGCCATGACCTCAGTCTCACCCCTCACTCAGCCTCCCGGCGCCCCACCCCTCCCAATCCTGCACCCTACTCCTTCCTCTGTGAAGAGGGATGCCACCTGCTTTCCTGTTTGCCCCACAGGACCTCCAGCAGAGGGTTGTCTACCTGAGCTACATGGCAGTGGAGTACAACGTGTCTTTCCCCCATGCAGCACGTAAGTAACCTCCTTCCCTTTCTCATTGCTACCACTAGACACCAGGGTTCCTGAAAGGACTAAGCTGGGGCCAGGGAGGTAGATAGGATCTAACCCTTCCTCACTCCTCCAGAGTGGACATTCTCGGCTCAGAATGCATCCCTTCGAGATCTCCAAGCACCCCTGGGCCAGAGCTTCAGTTGCAGCAACTCGAGCATCATTCTTTCACCAGCTGTCCACCTCGACCTGCTCTCCCTGAGGCTCCAGGCTGCTCAGCTGCCCCACACAGGGGTCTTTGGGCAAAGTAAGACCTACCTACTCCTTCCCTCCTAGAATCCTTCCACTGCACTGAAAACCCCTTCCCCAGGCCCATAAGCCACGCATCTCTCTTCTTAACCCCCCAAATCTCCTCCCTCTCCCAGCTTGTCATGGCTATAGGGCAGCTGTCCTCCCATCCTCTACAAGACTCTGCCAGTTTCCCCCTTTTGTCACTGCTGAGTCACTGTGGTGAGCTCCTCACCAATCTCCTACTCCCTAGCATCCCCCCATTCCCTCCTCCCACCTTTATCCCAACCATCATGTCACTGTAATAGCTACCTGCCCTGTCCTTCCGCCAGGTTTCTCCTGCCCCAGTGACCGGTCCATCTTGCTGCCTCTCATCATCGGCCTGGTCCTTCTTGGCCTCCTTGCCCTGGTGCTTATTGCCTTCTGCATCGTCCGGAGACGCCCATCCGCCTACCAGGCCCTCTGAGCATTTGCTTCAAACCCCAGGGCACTGAGGGGGTTGGGGTGTGGTGGGGGGGTCCCTTATTTCCTTGACATGCAACTGTCTCAAAGACAAAGTTATTTTCCTTCCCTTTCTTGAAGAACTAAAATAGAGCCGGGCGCGATGGCTCATGCCTGTAATCCCAGCACTTTGGGAGGCTGAGGCAGGCAGATCACTGGAGGTCAGAAGTTTAGAGACCAGCCTGGCCAACATGGTGAAACCCCATCTCTACTAAAAATACAAAAAAATTAGCCGGGTGTGGTGGCATAATCCCAGCAGGCCTGTAATCCCAGCTACTTGGGAGGCTGAGGCAGAATTGCCTGAACCCAGGAGGTGGAGGTTGCAGTGAGCCGACATCACGCCACTGAGCCAAGATCGCGCCACTGCACTCCAGATTGGGCGACAGAGCCAGACTGTCTCAAATAAATAAACAAATAAGAGATAATGCAGTTGGGAGGAGGGAGGGGAGAGAGTTTTATTAAATGTGACGAACTGTTCCCCCAAGAGGAGAGTAGCAAAATATATGTGTATCTTTGACTTGGGGTTTTCCTTGTCCTGCCAGGATTAAAAGCCATGAGTTTCTTGTCACATGCCTTTCTGTGCTTTCCATGGCTGGGTCTCAGCGAGCCGGAAGCAGCTGCTGAGGAGGGATGAAAATGTCAATGTGTGACGATGCCTCATGGGTTTACCCCCCAAAGCCTGGCACAGCTGTGTTGGGTCTGCCGTGCCTCCCTTCCTTCCTCCTCTTGGGGCCACTGGCTGCTCCAGTACCCCATCGCTGGCAAGCCGGTAGAGCCACTCACCCCTGCAGCCTTCCTCCTGATCCTCCTACAGTTTCAGATGCAGCAGACAAAGCCATGAGTGGGAGGCTGTGGAATTTCATTCCCAAAGGCAGCGCCAGTGGCTCCCGAGCAATGAGAATGTCCTGTCCTGTCCACCGTATTCAGGGCCAGCAGAAGAGCCCGATTAAACCCTTGCAGCACCTGGGATGCTCCTATCCCACCTGCAAGGGATTGAATCAAGCAGGAGCAGTACGTACTCTGACCTCCACTGGCGGCTCCTGGGAACAGCATGCCCCTTACACAGGGCCACCCGCCAAGTCTAACTTCATGCCCCCAGTATTTGAGGTGAGGCGAGTCATTCTCAGGACAGCCAAGGTCCAGATTCTAGAAAGGGCCTCCCAGATGGCCACAGCCTGCACCACAAGTGAGCGCCAGTCCCACCCTTTACAGTAGGCTGTGGCGCAATCCCTGGGAGCCAGGATGAGCAGCACCCCCCAGCCGTACGAGCCCCAGGAGGCTTCCGGCCTCCAAAGCCAGAGACTTCCCCACAAGGGCAGCCCTCACCTGGCAGGGCCCCAGCAGCCCCACCTCTGCCTGCAGACATCCGTGTGACCTTGCAACAGGTGGGCACCGTGGGTTGGCGTCCCGGCGCTGGGTAACGAAGCACAGCGCCCCCACCAGGTAGTCCAAGGTGCCCTTTCCCAAGCGGAGCTGCAGGGTCCACTCGGCCTCGCCGAAGTCTCTGCCCAGCACGTGGTGCGCCCTCGGGCCAGCGGGGAGCGGGAGAACCCCGGGGCTGCATCGCCAGGCCACGGCTGGAGCCGGCCAGCTCTGTGCCCCACGGGTGATTTAAGGGTTGCCCTTCCCTGCCCTGGGCTCGCCTCCCCCACCTCCTCCTCTGCTTCACTGTCCCGGGCCCAGCAGTTGCCGGCGCACTCATGCTCCGAGGCCTGAGCCAACCGGAGGCGAGGCAAGCACAGGGCCCTACGCGCAACGCGGCACCTAAGGAGGCCTGCCCGGTGCAGACTCTCCTGCTCCCACTGGCGCCCTTCCCTCTAGAGACGTCGAGCGAACTGGAGCTAGTGGCGCCCCCACCCAACGCCACCTCGGAGACTCGGGCTCCTTCTCTCTCAACTTCGAACAATACAGAGTGTGCTACGAGAAGACAAGATGGCGCCCAGCAAGAGGAGCGGAGAAAGGGGTGTAAATCTTACTTCCAAACTGGAAGCGTCAACAAAGGCGTGGGAGGTCTAACTGCGCAGGCGTGCAGCTTCGGCAAGCTTCAGAATTCCAACTGCCGGGCGCGTCCAAAACGTGGTCCCTGACTGAGACTTATTTTACGCCACTAGAGCGGGGGCGGGTAGCGTCAGAAAGAGCGGGGAGCAAGGGGCGGGCCAGCTTCGCCGCGGGAAAAGAACGGGAGGCGGAGTGTCCGCAGCGCGCACGCGCAACGAAAGTCAATGGCGGTCTGGAGAGACTGGCGGAAGCTAGCTTTGCAATATGGCGGCCGAGGCGGATGGACCGCTTAAACGGCTGCTCGTGCCGATTCTTTTACCTGAGAAATGCTACGACCAACTTTTCGTTCAGTGGGACTTGCTTCACGGTGAGTTTTATTCAGCATCCAATCCAAGTCCTGCTCGAGTGACCGTGGACCCTTAGTCCAAGGCTTGATCGGCGACTAAGTGACGGCAGTCACTGCCGCCACGCCGAGCTGAGCGGAAGTCACTTCTGAGAGGGGCGGAAGTGTCTCGGCCCCTTAGAGGGGGGACGCCATATTTGTTCCAGTGGGGAAGTCACCGGGTGGAATTACTTCTTTGTGAGGTTTGTGCTTTAGCGACAATGAAAGACGAAAAGACTCAACTTTTATAAAACAAAATAAAAGTCAAGTCAAATCATGCCAACCTTTATTAGATCGCTAGCAGGGTTAAGCTTAATTCAAAGCCCCTGATGAATTGGGCCTTCATTGCACCCCCAAAGGCTCCGCCACCCTGATTGCTTTCTTTCCAGCCTCCAGGTTTGCTCATAGTCTGATTTCGGAATAATTTGCCTCCCTTCCTTTTTCTGATTGCGAGACAGCTCCACAACAAGGCCCACCGTCAGACCATTTGGGAAGCGTCAGTTTGCCCCTCTCTTGAACTCGTGGGGCACTTTGTTTTAGCCACATTCATGACCCGTGAGAGTCTGACTCCCACTGGACCAAGCTCCTTGAGGGGAAGGCTTCAAGGCTAGATAAGTTGTAGATGGCCAGGGCATAAAAGCAAGTCCTGGGCCGGGCGCGGTGGCTCACGCCTGTAATCCCAGCACTTTGGGAGGCCGAGGCAGGTGGATCACCTGAGGTCAGGCGTTTGAGACCAGCCTGGCCAACAGGGTGAAACCCCGGCTCTACTAAAAACACAAAAAATTAGCCGGACATTGTGGCAGGCGCTTGTAATCCCACCTACTTGGGAGGCTGAGGCAGGAGAATCTCTTGAACCCAGGAGGCAGAGGTTACAGTGAGCCGAGATCGTGCCATTGCACTCCAGTCTGGGCAACAGAGTGAAACTCCGTCTCAAAATTAAAAAAAAAAAAGTATGAAGACTTGTCTTTGGTGAGAGAAGACATGTGAAATGGGGCACCCATTGGCCCAGAGAAGGGAGATAAAGGATTAAAAACTCTTGGGCATTTCTTAACTTGGCATTTCTTAACTTTATACGGGGAAGCAATGGAGAGCCGTGGAGGTCAAGCCAAGTTTGGATGTTAATTTATAGGGAAGGGAAGATTGGATGTGGCAGGTGGTAGGCATTGGAGAAAAGCTGTTTTGGAAAGTAATAGTCCGGGGCCCAGCGCGGTAGCTCGAGCCTATAATCCCAGCACTTTAGGAGGCTGAGGCAGGTGGATCATCTGAAGTCAGGAGTTCGACACCAGCCTGGCCAACATGGTGAAACCCTGTCTCTACTAAAAACACAAAAATTAGCCAGGCATGGTGGTGTGCGCCTGTAATCCTAGCTACTTGGGAGGCTGAGACAAGAGAATTGCTTGAACCTGAGAGGCAGAGGCTGCAGTGGGCTGAGATTGGGCCACTGCACTCCAGCCTGGGTGACAGAGCAAGACTGTCTCAAAAAAAAAAAAAGTATAGTGGTTTGGAGCAGGAAAGACCAGGCCTTTTTCGCTGCCCTCCGTCCCTCCTCCCCCCAAGACAATGCAAGACCGTGGTGTGGGTAAGAGGGGTTGGGGAGAGCCCACAGGAGCTTCAAGCCCTGGCCTCGGTTTCAGACATCTCCTATCTGCTTACCCTTTTTTCTCTCCTCAGTCCCCTGCCTCAAGATTCTCCTCAGCAAAGGCCTGGGGCTGGGCATTGTGGCTGGCTCACTTCTCGGTATGTCTCTTACCTTTCTTTCCTGCTGTTGGGTTGAGGTGGAGGTTCTGAGAGGCCGTCAGCTGTGTGGGCGTTCATTCTGTAGCTGTTGTGTTGCATCCCAAAGAATGGAGACTCCTCAGTCCTACTTTTCTCATCTTTCCCCTAGTAAAGCTGCCCCAGGTGTTTAAAATCCTGGGAGCCAAGAGTGCTGAAGGATTGAGTCTCCAGTCTGTAATGCTGGAGCTAGTGGCATTGACTGGGACCATGGTCTATAGCATCACTAACAACTTCCCATTCAGGTGAGGGGCCCACTCTTCCTCCCCAAGGGTAATACCCACAACTCTAATGGGGATTAAGGTGAGGGAGGTTACAGGGCAGGAAAGTCGCCAGGCCGGGTGGCTCGTGCCTTTAACCCCAGCACTTTGGGAGGCCAAGGTGGGTGGATCACCTGAGGTCAGGAGTTCAAAACCAGCCTGGCCAACATGGTGAAACCCTGTCTCTACTAAAAATACAAAATTAGCCGGGTGTGGTGGTGGGCACCTGTAATCCCAGCTACTTGGGAGGCTGAGGCAGGAGAATCACTCGAACCTGGGAGACAGAGGTTGCAGTGAGCTGAGATTGTGCCACTGCACTCCAGCCTGTGCAAGAAGATCTGGAGTTTTTTTTTGAAACTGTCTCAAAAAAAAAGGGATGAGGGACCAGGAAAGTTTTAAGCCCTTTTAGAAACCTAATCATCACCAATGGAGGTGACCTTGAGAAGGGGTGAGCATCCCAAGAATGGCCACGATTGAGAATGAGCCAATCCCGTGTGGGGGCCAGAGACACATGATCAGAGCATGGTGTCCCTGGATGGAGGGGCTATGGAGGCTTTCCCTGCCTCTTTCTAGGCCCACCTTTCTTCCTCCCAACTCTTGACTGCAGCTCTTGGGGTGAAGCGTTATTCCTGATGCTCCAGACGATCACCATCTGCTTCCTGGTCATGCACTACAGAGGACAGACTGTGAAAGGTGCTGGGGACTTCCCTAAAAGCAGGCTGTGTGGCTCCTGGGAACCCTGCTGGGAACTCAGGCCTGGAAAGCCAAATGATGTTGGGAGATTGACAAGGACTCCTGTCTCCCCACCCCTAGGTGTCGCTTTCCTCGCTTGCTACGGCCTGGTCCTGCTGGTGCTTCTCTCACCTCTGACGCCCTTGACTGTAGTCACCCTGCTCCAGGCCTCCAATGTGCCTGCTGTGGTGGTGGGGAGGGTGGGTACCAGGAGCAAGGGACAAGATGTTGGGGCGCAGGGTGGAGGGGAAAGAGTGGAAGGTCAAAGCGTGGGGGTGTTGGACTTGGGGGAGTATGGGAGGAGCTCAGGTGACAGAGCCAAAGGTCTCAACTCCTCCCCTAGCTTCTCCAGGCAGCCACCAATTACCACAATGGGCACACAGGCCAGCTCTCAGCCATCACAGTCTTCCTGCTGTTTGGGGGCTCCCTGGCCCGAATCTTCACTTCCATTCAGGTGAGTGCAACATCTTCCTTCTAGAAGGCACTAAAACCTCATCTTCTCCCAGCTAAGGGCCAAAGCTGCCCCGTCAGGATCCTTTGTCCATAAGGGAAACTTTCTTGAGCTATGCTGAAGGGTAACGCTGGCTCTGTCTCTTGCAACCAGGAAACTGGAGATCCCCTGATGGCTGGGACCTTTGTGGTCTCCTCTCTCTGCAACGGCCTCATCGCCGCCCAGCTGCTCTTCTACTGGAATGCAAGGCCTCCCCACAGGCAGAAAAAGGCGGAGTAGAGCCAGCTCCTGGAGTCATTCCGTTTCCACTCATTCACCCAACCTCAGGGTTCTCCCCATCTGAGCCAGCCTGCTGGTGTGACTTACTCATCCTCCATTCCTCTGCATTTGCAGACTTTCTAAGCCAGGGTTGGCTTTAGTGGAAACAAATGGTTGATGGATCCAGATCCTTAGAAAAGGAGAGGATGGGGGTAGAGTCTCCTAAGCCAAAATTTTGACATTTGAGTGCTTTTCTAAGCCCTGTACATGAACTATTAACTCAGTCATTCAGCCAAGCCTCCTCCTCTAGCAGCAATTTCCAGCTGTTTAACACTATCCTGGGTAAATGTTTTACCCTGTCCTCCAGCCTCCCTGCTTCCCTTCTGGCCCTAGAAGATGGAGCCTGGAAGGCAGAGTGGAGGGGACTGGGGGCCTGTGGCTGCCTCCCCCGCTCAGCCCCGCTGGGACTGTCTCCCAGACCCCAGTGCTGAGGTGGGGGAAGGGGGACGGAGAATGACTCAGGCAGGGCCCCAGGGTGGGGTGAGGAGGTTCCTGCTCTGGCAGGTCTAGGCGGAAGGGAGTGGAGATGGGGCTGCTTCCTGCTGCAGTGAGGGGAACAGATGGGACAATAAAGACTGGAGACTCAGGTGAATAATACAAAACTGTGTTTAATACTACCAAAAATATAACTGTGTTGTGCGGCTCTCCCTGGCTTTCGTGGGAGGACTGCAGGCGGCGTCTGCACTGTAGTCCAACGTGAGAAAGGGTTGACAGCCTGGGGTAGGGGATGCTGCTGGATTAAAAAAGGATGAGGCACGTCCGGTGAGGTCTGAGTCCACGAGAGTTAGAGGTGGGTTAGGGGCATGGGGGCACCAGAAAGGGGAGGATTGTATGGAGTGGGAGAGCCAGGGGGCAGGTAGTGGGTATAGGGGGGCAGCAGCTCCCCCTGGAGCCTAGGGTCACTCTGAGGGAGGGAGCACGATGAGGGGGCCTCCAGTTTGCAGTGGGAAGAGCTGCAGAGAGAAACAAGAGGTTAGAGGGCACTTCCCTGGGTTGGAGGTGAGTTCGACCAATTCTGGGCAGGCAGGGTAGAGCTTGCCACCCACCCAGCCCTGGCTACCCAGTCCTCTGGGCGCAGCAGGCATGGAAGCCGACCCGGGGATAGAGAGCCCGCGGCCCTGTTGGGGCACGCTCGGGAGCGGGCTTGCGTGCTGCACGGCTGTTTTCCTCTTGGGGCTGGGGAGTCAGGCCAGGAAGGGGCAGAATGGGCTTGGCCTCTCCTTGCCCTGGGGGCTGGGAGAGGAAGCTGGGTCACACACAGGCCAGAAGCAGGGGGAAAACAGGGCATCTAACTAGGACAAAATCGCATCCAGGGGTCCGTCACCGGGCCTGCAGGGCCACCACCTTCAGACTGAGATGGAAACGCCCTCTTGGAGAACCCTGACCCGCCCCACCCTACACAGTACACAGGTCCCGAAGGTACTGGCGCCTGTGCCCGCCACACCTTGGCCGAGAGTGGCCTCTGCTTGGGTGGGCTCCCGTCCTCCGGCATCCGCCCCCACCAAGGCTCCAGGAGAGGGGCGCATGGGCCCTCCGTCTTCAGCCCGCTTCCCAGGCACTCACCCATAGCTGCCAGGCAGGTAGGCTGTCGAGTAGTTGGGGGGTCTGTACCCAAAGCCTCTGCTAGGTTGGGTGGTCGCGTACCCCGGCCCCCAGATCGCGCCGCCGCCGGCCAGGCTACCTCTTCCCTGTCCGCAGCGGGAAGGTCCGGCGCCCGAGCTCTTGGCCTTGCGCCGAGGGCGGTACTTGTAGTCGGGGTAGTCGCGCAGGTGCCGGGCGCGGAGCCGCTTGGCCTCCTCCACGAAGGGCCGCTTCTCGTCCTCGTCCAGCAGCTTCCACTGCGCGCCCAGGCGCTTGGAGATCTCAGAGTTGTGCATCTTGGGGTTCTGCTGCGCCATCTGGCGGCGCTGAGCGGAGCTCCACACCATGAACGCGTTCATGGGCCGCTTCACCTTCTCCAGGGGCAGCGCCCCGGGGGCCGCGGGGCTCCCAGCGCCCTCCCGCTCCTGGGGTCCCGAAGATGAAGACGCAGAAGCCGTGGGAGCAGGAGGCTCCAGGCTCCAGGCCTGGTCCTGTGAGGAGCCCGGTAGCGCCATGGGTTGGGAGAAGCCTTAAGAGGGCGTCCTGAATGCCCTCCCCTCAACGTGAAGCGTCGATCCTGAAAATGGAGGGGTCTTCCAGTCTGGAGTCGTTGCTGAGGAACTTGGGTCTTTAAAAAGTATATTTTATCCCCAAGCCCAGAGCTTAAACTAGAGCCTTTGCTTCCAACCAGTTCGGCACACTTTGGGGAGAGTCGAATGCAAAATCCGCTGTCTGATGCCCCGGCACTGAAGAGGTGCTGCTCTGAGGCCTACTGACTGGGGGGACCCCCCGGTCCCTCTCCCCGACCCGCAGTTGCGATCAGACCGACCTTCCGTGGAGGGGGAAAACCATAAACCGCTTTGTGGTCTCCGGAGTTCCCGCAGCTGCCAGGCGCGGATGACCCAGAACTCTCCCACCTGGGCTCAGCGTTTGTGGCAGGCGGGCCAGCCCTGGGAACAGCTTTTAAAGACTGACTCCGCCCCTGGCCCTCCCAGAACACTGCACCTCCTTAAGGGCGCCAACATCCGCTGCCCGTAGGTAAACCCAGGTGTCCTGTTTGTCCCAGCCCCCAACACCCTCAGGGTGCCACGCCCCCCCCACCCAAGACCTGATGTCAGGCCTTCCAGCCCGTTGCTGATTGCCTCCCCTCCCTGAGCACACGCAATTTAAAGCCAATTCTTTCCACAATGGGATCAAGCACAGGCGGATCAAGTGCCCTCAGGGCCTGAGTTGTGTTGAGAGGAGCTTGGGAGCATCCCCGACCACCAACTCAAACCCTTTCCTGGCGCCTGTTGCTCCTCAAATCCCAGACCTGCCCCTGGGGCAAGAAAGGCCGAGGAGAGAGACCATTTTTGTTTCCTGAGTCATTCCAGCAGGTGCTTGGGCCGTGATTCAACCCCTTTCCCAAGTGAGAAAACTTAAGCCCTCCCAACTCCAGTCCCTAAACCTCGATTTCTCGACTGCCATTGAATTATGGCAAGTTTTATCTTCAGTCCTCCCAGTCATGAGGGGGGAGCCAGGAAACCTAGGACAACTCGAGTTGAGAGGTCTGTGATGTGCATGCCGGATGAAAAGCCTGGAGCCAGATCAGAACACCACCAAGGCCGGGCCCCAGGCTCCAGAGGCTGCCGTCAGGGAACCCTGCTCCTCACTCTGCCCAACGGCCCAGCCCAAGCCCCAGGCCTCAGGTAATCGGATTAAGCAGCCTGCCTTGGCTCTCAGCTTCTAGCAGGAACAGCTCCAGCTCTGAGCAGCCCTGCCTAGCCTGTGCCGTGACTCAGGGTATAGGAGTGGCCCAACTCCCTCCATCAGCAAACTTGGGGGAGGGGAGAAGCAACAAGGCACAAGCCCCCCTCCTCTGGACCAGGAGGGAGAACCTGGGCCTGGGGAGTTTAGGAATGTCAGGAATTCCCAGAAGTAAGACCATCTTTGGGACAAGAGACAATGAGAAGTCAGGTGTGGAGGAACAGAAAACAAGAGCGGGGGGTCAGGGCAGGTCAGTCCTAGAGAAACAAACGGACCAAACTGGGGACAAAGGCGGCACAGGAGCCAGAGAGCCATTTGGATTTTTTTATTCTCTTTTTAAATACTGTACAGTGAAAAATAAATACGCCTTCTCATCCACCAGACAAGGTTGGTCCCCTCCCCCGGGGGACCTTGTCACCCCCCTTCATACACACCCCTGGTTCTACTCCAAAACCTTCCCCGTGCCTCCCACCCACTTATCTCTTACTATCCCCGTCTTCCACAGTGATGAGGCCCCAGAAATGGGGGGTACAGGATGGGAGGAGGGATAGCAGGGGAGGCCCCCTGAACGGTCAAATCTGGGTGGGTCAAGGAGCACCCCCCACCAACAGGTGGAGAATGGGGGTGTTCAGAGAGAGATTGGGGCATTAGAGGATAAAGGCACATCCAGTCTGATGGGGAAGGAGAGAGGCTCCCCTTACCCTGGGGGTAGGGTGGACAAGAGGGAGGGGGTATGACCCTGTTACACACCCCTCCACTAGCTCCTGGAGGTTGGGGGGTACCCAAGCTGCTGTGCCACCCCCCTCCCCCCTAGATAAGAGCAGCTCCAGCGCAGGTCAGTTGGGCCTGTGAGGGCCATGGTGTTGGGCAGCAAGCGAGATGGAGAAGGGAGGGGTGCAGGCTGGAGGTTTTATGAAACCCCATTCACCATACTACCCAACTCCAAGGGGGCGGAGAGCTCCCCATTCTCCGAGGGGCCCTTAGGAAGCTTGCTGACAGAGTCACCCTGAGGGGAAAGTGGGAAAGAACACAGACAAGCAAGAAGCGGTGAGTAGAAATTCAGGTGGGAGACATTTCTACCATCCAAGCCCTCCTGGCATTTGGTGATCCAGAGGTTGGTTCCCTCATGATCCAGTCTCTCTTACTTGGGATCCACAAAATGTGAACCACACTTTCCTCTCTATCCTATTCAAAGTTTACACTAGTCTAAACTCCATCAGACACAGCTGCCTCTGCAACTCAGTAAGAGATTTCTTTGTGAAATTTGTTGTGCCCCCTGCCCCAGAGTAACAACAAAAAAGGGATGGGTAAATCACATCTTGCCTGCCTACCTTCTGTCCTGAAAGAGAGTCCTCTGAGGGTTTAGTGCGTTCCAGGGGTGGCCGCTGGCGGCTCTGAGACTCTGCTCGTGAGATATAGTCAGCCACAGTCACTGGGGAAGGCAGGAGATTAAGACTTTCAGATGGAATTCTGGTAGCCAGCCCAAGACACCCACTGAACCCGAACCCCTGATTTTCACAGGGTAGGAAGCATCCCATTCTCTCAGCTCTGAGGAAGGATTCTGGTGTCCAGAGTTGGCTGACCTGGCTGGCGGTCTCCACTGATAGAACCATCAGTCCGATTACCACGGTTACGGCGGCGGCGGCTGCGATTACGACGTTGAGGTCTTGATTCATCTTCTGTAGGGCAGGAAAAAACCAGAGTCACACATCTAACCTCTCACCCTCGATTCCTACCCATGTCTAACTTTCCAGACCCCAGGCACACCCTCACCCAGGCCATTCTCTGTCATGTTGGGCCCATCTGATTCCAGGCCTCCATCCATGACGGTCCTGTCTTCATCAGTGCGGCGGCGGCGGGAGCGGCGGCGCCTGGCACTTGCTGGGGGGGGTTCCCCAGGTTCTGAATCAACAGGGGGCTCTGGTTCAGATGTGTCCAATAGGCTGTAGGGATTACTGTCTGGATCCTTCAGCACTGGTCAGAGGAAGAAGAGGAGAAGTTGGCATTCAGGTGCCCATCATCTTTTGTTTTGGCCCATATTCATGAACCCAGCTGTCTGGTACCTGAGCTAATAGATGAAGAATTATATCTCGAAGTGGGCCGGGGGGCAGGTGGGGGTCCCCTACCCCGGCCCCCAATCGGCCGCCTCCGGCTTTCTTCCCCTCGGGTTGGGGGATCCCTGTCGCCAGGCCCAGCTCGGTTGGGTTCCTCTCTCTTCTCTGACTCAGTCTCTGAAGCTGTAGACACATCTGAGCTGGGGCCTGAAGAACACAGTGGGATTTATTCATGG